AAAAAATGCGGAAAAGAAAAGGGACGATTTCGAAAGTCTCACAGTCACATGCAAGTCAAAAAGCAGTGTGAGAAGGATCATGCTGAATATTACCTCTTCATGCTTTACTTTTTCACGCCAGTCGTTGCATCGTTGCAGGAGGGGCACGACAAGCCTCAGCGCATACCACAGATCGTTTTCTGTATTGGCACGACTACAGACTTCCCCAGCAAATGTCGATATCAATTTTGATAAGGATGTCTGAAAAATGAAGTCAATGTCTAACAATGAAAAAGTCTAGCTATTTCGAACTACTGAAATCGAGATCTGGGTGCTCTTTTCGAATGCTTCTCAAATGGAGTGGTATTACTGCTAACGTACCAGGTTGCTGTGATACCAATAAGCTTGAGCAACCACGTTCACGATAAGTGGACGACTAGCCATTTGCAGAAGTTGCCGCTCCTCAAACTCATCGAAGACTATCTCTTCGAATGTCATTTCTGAAGCATGATCAAATAGTGGCCTAAAGGAATAACAGGCTCATATCGTGAGAGGTGTACTGATATAAATAAACACTCTGTGGAGGTTCCTAAAATCCGCTTGATGCAGCGCGTGCGTGTAAAATCCATCAATTATAAGCATACCTGCCAATACGCCGCTGTCAATTACAGCAAGGAATTCGTTCTGCAGAACTCGACAGTACGCTTCAGGCAATGCCGTCAACAAGAGAGCGATCGCGTTCAACATCAAATACGGTCGAGGTGGTTGAGCCTCTTGAGCTCACCAGCAAGTTGATCATCGCTGGTACAATATGCTTAAAAAGTAAACCTATTAAACCACTACCATTCCAACACGTGGGTTTAGTAAGAATTTTCGTTTCATAAAAGATGGCCACTATTTCCAGGTTACAGATTAGGCAAACGTTAAAGTTACAAAGCTCTCGAAGATGAACGAACTAGATTGAACTGACTGCTCTACATTTATGTATTTATGTTTTACGAGCTATTATGTTGCATACCAGAGCACCAAAAAAGTGTTCCTTGCAAAAAAAGAGAAATCTCCAGAAAGCTTCACCTCCGGTGAATGAGGACTGGCAAGGAGCTCAATGCAGGCAAGGTATAAAGCCTGAGCAGCCGGTGGGTATTCCGCAAATCGCCAGTCAGGAGCCACGTACGATGGAGGCCTTAATAATACAAGAACATCTCTCAAAATCTTTTAAAAATCCTTCAAAACCCTTCAGGCCAAGTACTTGGTGCTCATATGCTTATGTATGAAATCCAAACTCACGTGAGGATGAATTCACTGCATGTGATAATTCGATCAGCCAGCTCGTACACAAGTTCCTCGAACGAGTATACCCTCTGGTGATTATCGTTGATAAACGATTGAGTCAATGAGCTTTGATCGCCTAAAAATCGAGGCTCATCATTTTGTACTGACTGGGTCTTTTTTCACACTAAAACTCATTCTGTTACCTTGACATAAAATGGCCAGCACAAATTGCCGAGCTCTTGGATGATGACCCAGCTGCTCATGCATGCAGAACAAAATAGTATAAAGAAACGTTATCGGATAAGCTGAAATTTTTGAAAAATAAAGAAATCGACAAAAAAAACTAAAAGAGACCGAGTGTCTGGAAGGCTAAGTCAATCCAATGTCGAACTGTCGGTTATTTAGTAACGATAGACCAGTCAACTCACGATGGAACTTATATATCGGTCCACAAGTGGTGAGTATTGTCGAGAATATATTATCCACTTGAAGTTCCAACGCTCGTGCCAATGTGAAATCCAAAATCTAAACAGTTTCTTCATATTCCTACTATCCTTTTGACACATGTGTCGAAGCCAAAAAAGAAGGCAAAGGAGATTTAGCCAAACAATTTATGAATTAAAGTAAAAATGGTCAACAATGAATTAAATTCATGAGATGAGAGAGCACTAACCGGTAATAATCGCTCTATAAGACTTCCATAATAAATGGGATAATGTGCTCGTGGATTGATCATTTCAGCCATCATAGGAGGTCGATTAGCCATCTCTGCGAATGTCATTTCAGGGAATTTCTGAAACCCATGATGAACAAAGTCGGTATGATTTACTTCCCTCTACACCGCTCAGCTTACCCGATGATATTCCGTTAATCGACGGAAATGTTCTGGAGCATCCACATCTCGCCGAGGAATAAACCGGCAATAGAAATCTATTCTTTCGTTTATTTCCGAGCAGTTAAGTAAAGCCTGAAGTGAGATTCCATTCGTTACGCCGTGAAACTGCTCTATATATAACATATCATGTAAAGTAACAAGAAACTCAACAAACCTGAACAATGACCATTGCAATTTGACTCGCATGGTCAGTGGCTGGATGAAGAACTAAGGAAAGCAATAGGCGATCGAACGTCATCACATGACGATGGAAAACCATCATATTTAGTACGCGAATCATCTGCAAAAAAGAGCTGTTACATAGTAAAGGAAAGATCCTTGCGAGAAAACCGGTAAGTATGCATAAAGAAATCTACAGAAGCAACGATTCGAATTCATCAACGCATTTCATCTTATTAAAAAGGAAAAAAAATAGAAAAGGAATTGCGATTGCTGACCATTGGAAGAAACTCCTCTGAATTCTTCTCAGCGCTGCACTGGGAAATTATGTAGTCAGTTGCATTCACCGCTAGCACATATTCTCTGCATGTAAGCCGATCAAGAATTCTGAAAGAAAAATATGTCCAAAAGAATGGAAAACGTGAACAGAATTAAACGCTCTATAACCAATTTTACAAAAACGAAAATATGAAGAGAAAAAAGGGCGTCTCAGAAAATGAACTCACTGGTAGATCACTGGTGACAAAATCTGATGTTCCGGTGGGCTTTCTATGAGGTAACGGAAAATTACACATAGAATTGTTGGCTGTCTTGACGGCATCGACATGTATTCCATCCAAGACATTTCTGGCTGCCCTGCCATTTGCATAAAATCGGTATGAACCTCTCTCTAAACGACAACACCGGCGCTCAACTATTCCCATAAGTGGAAGGAAGGTAGAATTGAGGAGAGAAGAAAAATTAAATACCTGAAACGCTTCGGCCTTGGCTGTGTCTTCTTCAAGGGTGATGGCTGTACGCTGCGCAGTCAGAGGCAAGGATGAAAGCTAAACTGAGCGCTTTAGGATATACTAAGTCAGATATACACTACTAAACATCCGCAACCACGGGCCAAAAGCTTATAAAACGTGACACATAAGGATGTAGCCGCAGGGCAACAAGCATGGGCTACGAACGATTCATTTACGAGCACATGAAGAATAACAGTAATTGCTAGCAGCACGTCTATGCTGACTAATTTGATTTACTGCAACACCTTTTGAGCCCAAACTGCAGCTACATTCAGTCAGTTCAAATCAGAAACGTTGGTGAAGCTGTGGCAAAACATTTTGGCAAAGAAGTCTTCGAATAAGAGTGTAACACACTACCTGACTTGGAGCCCATGTGTACACTTGATTGATCCGCATTAGCTCTGGATCACTTTCGATTCCTAAACACATTAATTCAACAAAAAACTTGCATAGGAATGAAAAGGATATTCGGAGGAACTCCGACAAGTGCTACTGAAAGTTGCTAACAATATGAAAATAATCTTTAGCCTCACCCATAATTTTCATGGCCCTCATCATTGTAATCAACAACATACGAACGATCTGAAATTCAAGTAAGTAAAGAAAGAGAAGTGTTAACAACGAAAAGGAAAGAACTACCTCTGGGCACACTACCAGTCTACCAGCCCTTGCATTATCCATTGGATTGTAAACCAACCAAGAGTTTAAATTCAACAATGTGTTCCCGAAAGCATTATCTGAAAAAAAACAAAGATAACTCCATAAATGTACAGAATATACAAAAACAAAGGCTACCTTTATGACGATGAATAGAAGTGACACAACTCACCTACAAACAAATGAGCAAGACTGATAGTATCTGGTAACAAGTTCCAAGCCCATTGACGCATGAGTGTGTGCTCCATTGCAGAATAGAGACCATAATTGGTAGCGATTTGCTAAAACATGGAGTCTTAACCTTAGCATAACTAAAAGAGCTTGAGCCCGAACTTCCACTAGGGCAGACGACAGCATAACAGATTGCACTAATTACTGTGAGTCATTAAAGAACTGCACCTGCTGAGCCATGGCACTATGGATTGTCATACAAAGGCGGAGACCAGCTGGAGTAGGATCATGAGTATGGGACATTGATGTTCGAAAATTCATTGGAATCGATGGCAACCTAAACTGATGGAGTTTCCAGCTCTAGAAGGCCTTTGAATAATGAAGAAATCTATTGAGTGGAGGAAACGGAGTCAATAATAAAGCTCTTGTTAACACACCTGTAGCATAGCAGATCCAGTAACATGTAGCACTGATCCTTCAAACTCAGTCCATCCGCAGGAGCTGGAGATAGAGCTGCAGTGATGGACCTGTTCAATATGGTGATTGAAATATGCGTTGCGCCATAGTCATAGCTCGATGGACGTTAGAATCTTCGGCGGCATAGGTCTCTTGAAACAACCAAAACATTTCGTTTAGAGCGAGCGCCTGATGCCCGACGATAAGAGATTAATTTTAAGCAAACAGTTTGTATCGCTATGCGGGATTCTATAATGAGGGCCTGATTAAGTTTTAAGGACATTGATTAGAAGCAATAGTATTGACTATACTAATAATATTAATTAACAACCATGTGATCATTGATCGAGGAGGTCAAGCTCACTCACCAACACAAGCTGGACTTGGAAGTCTGTCTACTTTGTGAAGTGAAACAAAGCAAGTGGACAGTAGAAGATTGATTTTGGCTCGCAAGGTCAACGCATCAAGGAACTGCAAGTATAGTTTCCAAGTAACCTATATAAGATACCATCTAATCCAAAAAAGAAAAATAGAATAAAATCACTGACCTGCATATCGAAGGCATATCAGTTTATTATTTCGCTCGGCATATGGTAGCAAATGTGGTTCGTCTGTGGGTTGTCCATCCAGCCGCTGTTGGAAAATCGCGTGAACATTTCGGGATACAGGAGACTCGTGTCGGACTGCAAAATAAATAAAAAAACTCAGAATTTCCACATGACAACTTCCTTGACTGCCTTACCGTAGATTAAACGATTAGAATTCATCCTGCATTAACTAGTTATCATCGAACGACTTGAACTACACGCGTTATCCAAAACCGCCTGCATGGCCTCGTCTGGTGGACCCGTGTTAGAACGTACGAATTCAATTTGATTGGCCAGGCATTCACTTGGGGGCGGTAATCCCTCCTGAAAGGAGAAATTCAATACTCAGATTAATTTAAAGAGTTAAGGAAAAGCAAGAACTGGCAAATGTACACTAAACTAAAGGGTGCTTCTGACAATTCAAAAAGCGCTCTTTTTCGCTCTTGTGGGACGTACAGCGTCTTTGGCGCGCCCCACACCATACTTCGAAAATTTTTGTGGTCGTAATATAACAAAAAGATGAATGGCTCGAAGAAGCCGTTAATCTTAGAAGTTAATTATACTGAAGTCAAAAATATGCAAAAAATGACAAACGATTGTCGGCGATTATTATCAGGCAAGCCATACGGGCTGCCACTGGCATTAACGTGAATGAGAATGGTTCGTTCAGTCAATGGAGTCTTCTCATTTCATCTCACGCTCAAATGTTTTTAAAACCTCCATTTCCTTCTGATCGTATCCCTATAAGGACACCTGTAGGTACGACTGTGTTACGCAAGGTGGGGATTTGGCTTTTTCTTCACTTCATCATCCAACGAAGACCGTGTCTCGTCCACTCTCAAGGCCGTACTTTCAGCAACATTTCTCTCCAAAGTCCTATTCCGTATTGTCCGGGCTGTTGAGTCGTTTGCGCGTAGCCGTGGCGGCGAAACTTAGAGGTGATCTGGCCGCCGCTACCCTACACGCTCTCCAAAGCGATGAGAAGCGATAAAATTAGATGCTCCAGCTTCTCCAGCTCTCATGACCGGGAGACGATAGGAAATAATCATGCTCTTCTCCTGGAATCCAGTGTCAGTAAAATGATGGAGTATGTTTACGAGGGTGGCCGAAAAGTATAATGGAGCGGCTTTGACCGCTTGCTGGCACTCTGAAGCGTGAGTTTTTTAGTTATCGGCTTTGAACTATGTAAGAAGCACCATTAGTTGTTTGGTCCAAAGTTCATCTGAACTCTCGCCATAAAGATTTGTTTGCATCGACCCATTGCCAAGAGGCACCCCAATGACTGTCTTTAAAATTGCAACTTCGGGAAGCGACTCGGTATTCCCTCTTCAACAATTAAAAAAATGTGTCTGTGCTCTAAAGGTTTGAGTACAATTGTGATTAGCATAAGTCGGAAATGAAGAACGGCACACTCAGAGTATTGGGGCATTCACTTAGAAGAGGATAGCTCACAACGATGAAGCCACCGTGGGTCACATCGCTTTTGATCTCAGGATCTGCCGTCACTCCTTCCAGAAGAGCTTGAGAGGCCATCATTATTTGAAGGGTTACCGACGCGTTCTATGCTGGTTTTTATTGGAGCAACCCGAATCGGTTCGACTGATAAAATGCAAAAAGTTTCTGCACGAGCTCAAGGTGCGCCGCATCTCTCTCTCGGATTGGGTTAACGAGAAAATTTTCGGAGGAAACTTCTTTTCAACCACCAAATTCAGAGGCAGTTGTTGCCAGAAAGTAAGAGCGAGTCTCCGAGATAACGCCTGGTTTACAATAAACTTTCTCCTGAGGGTGTGGTGGTTTGTGATGGGGTAACATCCAAAAGTGCAGCCCCATTGAAGTTCATCTTCCACAAATGTTGGGATTAAGTCGCAGGGCTTGCAAATACATGATTGAGTGTGCTTTATCCTGGATACACAGCTTTTGCTCAATGATTCGTTTGCTATTCTGAAGCTGGGCTCTCTTATATACGCGTTAAAATTCCGAACAAGCCAATCCCTATGGTGCTCAACCGCGGACCATTAGGACTAATATAATTACTTCTCTTCTCAGACCCTTAACCCGATGGACTACTCTATATGAGGATGTTGTACAGCAAGACCTTGTAATACTTCTCCAGCTCGGTGGGTGCTCTGAATTTAGCGCTTCAGAAGAAGTGGGACGACATCACCGTTGGCTACCTGCGGCGCACTGCTGATTTTGTCGTTGACGCCAGAAGGCCTCTCCCAAAGCAGAGTCGTCAAATATAAGCTCCTTCTGCACAAGTGATAAAGTAGCTTAGCTCTATCTTTGTGTGAAGTCGGTTTCCTGATCGGGTCTCTTTCTTGGTTTTTACACACAAAAACATAGCGTCCTATACTTTTCGGCCACCCTGTACCGTAATAACATAAGTACTTTAGGTGGGATTCGTTACTAGGGTAACACCGTATGATCGCGCGTACTGATACGAGCAGACAGTGCAAAATATGACCGCAAAGTTATTCTTTCAAATCCTTCACCCTTTCCTCTTGCCGTACACGACTTCTTGACTTCGATCCCACTTTTCTATATCAAAACAAATGCAAATTTTGGACAATGAAAATAATCTGTTTCAAAAATCACCGATCCATCGAGGATATTCCACATACAAGCAGCAGCTAGAAATCGAACAAGTTGAGATGGATGATCAGAGGCGCCCGTCCAAACGACGTCATCGTTGAACAAAAGCTGGAATCAAAGTTGTACTATCGATGCAGAGGGAAATGTAGATAGATTAAGAGCAAATAAATTGATGTTGATGTACGTTATAGAGCCTGGCCATTTCCTCTACTTGTTCCTTTTGTAGATGTTGTTGGAATGTGCCCGCTATCTGAAGCATTATCCACATCACTTCATCGCGTGCCCTTCGATATCCAGTTTTGACGAGGACGTTTGAAAGCAGGCTAAGCAGGCGGCTCAGATTTCTAGAAAGTAACCATCACCTCAAATTTACCATATGAACAACTGAGTGAGACTTACATATGCTTTTGAGTGATGCCATACATGATTATACTCATGAGGTTTTCCCACTGATAGCGCGGGATTTCAATTTCCTCAGGAAGCTTTTGAACCTACAAGGAAAAACAAATTGAAAAAAAACCTGTTCTCGGCACACACAAATAAGAACACAAACAAACTGCGCGTTGTGATAGAAGGCTAGGTAAGAGGTTTGTTTCACAAAACTTAAAACACCCGTTTTTCAATCAACAACAAACCAAGAACGACGCTATAGAACTGCGAACAAGTGGAGGATCAAGTGCAGACAACCGGTAATCGAGATTGTGATTTGGAAGGAAAGGAAAGTGATTCCATTCTTGGAGTCAAACCTTTCACTGAACCCACCTCCGCCATGGTTTCACTTATCAATACTGAGAGAATTTCGTCCCACTGGGTTCTGCCATGCGTGACTTGACGTAAAAGACCCTAGAAACTTGAAAGTCAAACAATATAAACAAAACCAAAATTAAACAAAATGCAAAAAATTTACCGAGAGCACCTCCTTTCCGCGCGGTTGTCTTATGACAGTGTAAAGAAGATATGTCTGAGGTGCTCGCAATTCAGCCTTGTATGGAAGGTAAGGAGCACGATGACTGAAACGACAAATGGTTGCCTTGGGTAGGAACTAAAGGCAAGTGAAAGTAACAAAATCAGTTCAAAGCAGTATAAAGAGTAGACCTTTGTTTTCATGGAACATAAGAATTACGACGATTAGCCTTTTCATTAATGAAAAAATACCTAATCTGTGTGGTTAAGTGGTCTATTCGGCACGAAGCCGCTGAAGCTGTAAACGAAGGATGTGCAGGAAGAGGAAAGAGAAAACATCGCCCGATTACGTAACTGAGTTCGGCTACTGCACGGAAGTACATTATTAGTTCCGACAGACGATGAGCTAGTCGCTAAAACACAACACAAGTTTTCCAAGAAGAACCAAATAACAAGAAATAACAAGAAATACCAAATAATTTCTACATGAGAAAAAATGACTACAAATCTTACGGGAAACATGTAGGCGCGCTTTAGGATTCCACGGCTAAGCTCAGTTAAGGTGAAAATCGGTGGTATTACGTTGAGATCTGGGTCCAGAATCTTGAGAAGAATCTAAATATTCGGAATATATTATTATTTATGTAGTGGTAAAAGCTCAGTAGGGAACTCAATAAACAGCAACGCACTCGTTTCGGCAGGCAATAGTTGTCGCCGTTGCTCAGGAGATAACTGGGCTGGTATACTGTTGAACTTGCTGATATATCAGACATCTGAACATTGAGGCTCAGCAGAACAAACTTAAGTTCTTTCCTCACTAGAATTGAACCAACCAGCAATGTAATCCACTCTAGTAATATTACTAGAGCTGCTGAAGGAAAGTTATATTCCTGAGATTAACTCACTTAAACAGACTTCGAACACCTTTGTAGTCCATGAGCGGGATATTTTCCTCAATGAAAATCCACTTTTGCGGATCCATAATAGTTCGCAGGGTGAAATCCGCAGTAAGGGCCAATCCTTCTACACACATGCTAGAATAATTACACTTTTAGAGTTTTATTCACGACTAGTAGGGGATAAGGTAAAAGGTAAGAATATCCAGCGCTCAACAAGATTGAGGTGTACTGTTACCATACAAAGCTGAATACTATTGAGTGCCAAGAGAACCTGGATTAGCGGCGGAAAGCGGCCGTTCAAATTAATGCATCCAACCCCTCAAAACAAATACTGGGCGACCGAATATTATCTTATTTTACAAAACCCTGATATTGAAAAGTGAATCATTGGAGCAGGAACCGAGCGTTTGCATTATCCGAAAGTAGGGTCGCATTTTGGGGTAGTAAGGTTTTTTGGACGGGTTTTTGACGATTTGTGAAAAGTTTTGACGAATGTAGTCTGAGAACTGGGCAAATGTGGAATTTTGCCGCTTCATGATACCCATTCACGCTCCCGCTTGACTACCGTTTTGGAGAAAAGTGGACGGAGTTGGGTGTGTCGACCGGTCTCAGAATCAAGTACTGTAGGAACAGAGGGCGATGGTCAGAGGAAAGAGAAGGGATCGTATTGGTGGGACCATTCCAAGGTGATGGTGGTGGTGGGGGGGGGGTGCTATCGAGGATGCCCTGCGGGTGAGGATAGTGGAAATTTTTGAAAGGTGTGAAGGTGAGGTTGACCCTGTTTCTGGAATATCTGTAGAAGAATCAAACACTAATTTATGAGTGGGGTTACACCCTCCGCCGCGTATTAAGCAAAAATACTTTGATGAAAGACACCGGCCGCGTGAGGATAATAGAGATTGCGTGGACAACCTCGTACTCCTGCTCCATTGTAAGGAATGAGCTCGTCACAATAGTAAAGCTCCATACAGGAACTCGTTCATATCTGCAAGAGAAATTAATCCAAACTGGTTGCAGATGTATCGTTACTTTGTTTTGTAGCATTTTTTATCACCCAAATGTAAAAATAGTTGTTAGTTGAGTCGGCCGCGCCACCCTCGCCGTAAACTGTCTTCTTCCTCAGCGAGTCCATGTGATCACAGTTAGTGCCGACGTTCCGAGGGGTGGTATTCTCCGGCTGTTTCAGGGCGAATGAACAACCACTGCTCTTGTCGGAGACCTCATCGCTCATTGGAACCGAGGTGTATATAATTATTCAAAGACACTCATGGGACTTCGTACCTAAGCTTCATACTGAACTCAGTGCTCGGGATATGGACTCAGGAAGGATACGTAAACCTCACTGAACGCTGATCCCAACTAATGGCACCGTCTTGAGCTTTAATGATCTTTCTAAGCAAAAACATGACTTGAGAATCAGCTGAGCTCCTATTAAGCCATGCCAGGGGGATTTCATTCAAATTGCCATTTCGATTTCTAATAAGCTGCTGCATGTACACGAACGTACAGACTGATCGTTGCCGACATTATGCTGGCTTTTACTTTTCCGAATTCGAAAATCTGTCAGATTGCAACCTCCATCAGATGTTTTCATCAGAATTGCACTTTGCACATTCACTTATAGTGAGAAGAAATTAACAGGGAAATAAGTTCTAATTAGTTTCAGTGGATGATCTTCTTTTGGAAGCTCACGTAACAAGAGCCACAGAAAGCCATTCTAAGGAGTTTAGGCTTATTGAGGACTACTGAGCGCGAAATATCTCACTTTACTCTTAGATATGGAACTAGAATTCATTCAGTTCATGCAAAGAGAGCAGCAAAAGCTAACCTCATCCATTTTGCTAAGAAGAACCACAGCCTGAACGCCGAGCATCTCATCAAAATCCTTATTTGCCGTTTGCATTTGCCAAAAAACCACTTCAAGAAAATTTTCATGCTGAAAAATTCGACGGTTGGAGACACTCGTTCACAAAATTAACAAGTCAAAGAGTTTCATACCACGAATTCAATGATGCATCGTCGTAAGCGTTCGATATCCAACGGTCTCTGTGGAGCCTCATCGCCTTCTTTGAGAAGTGACTTGTCCTTGTCGTCTTGTCCATCCGACGGCTGTCCGGCCGTAGCCGACATTGCAATATATGTAGTGCTCTACTAAAGTTATCAATTAATAATTACAATAGAGCCATGAAACCACGACAACACATCGCCTTTGTCGTCTTTCTATGAAGAAGAGGCTCTTCCAGTAGGTGGATACTACTGCAATGGACTGGGCCGACTGAAGTATGATAAACTTTTTGCAGGACGAATCCACGAAGTGAATGGGTGAACCAATTTGCTAACGCAACAAAGGAGCAAGATGACTACTACCTTTACGACTGTTCGCCTAGAAGTTCAAACTTTTTTTAAAGCGTTCGGTTGCTCAAATCGCAAAATTGTTTGTTCCCAAGAGTAACCCCATTTTATGGAAAGCTCTAGGTTGGATAAGCCAGCTTGTCTATGCGAGAAGGGACTGGCTGAATATGAAAATGAAACTGTTTTCCATGACAGTGAACCCCTTAAATGCTCTGCAGCGACGGTATCCCCAACCCCACTTGAGCCAGAAGAATTCTGTTGTGCTCCAAAGACGCTGAGCGAGAACACTATGAAACAGAGCCTAAACTGACTGAGGAAAAAGCCCTCTTTTCAGCAAAGGCTCACTCAACCGTGGACTGGTTGA